TTGCCTTCTCTTTAGTGATTTTTCCACTTTTCAAAGGAATTGGGAAAAATCTTGGATACTTAAAGGTATTCTTTTAATTTTATAATCTCTTATAATTCTTTGGGATATCATAGGAATTTTCTTGGGATTTTAGCCTCCTTAAAAATATTTATTTGGAATTTTCCAAATAAAGGACCTTAAACTAGCTTAAATCACCCTTAAATTCCTTTGTAATTTCTCTAAGGGCAATTTGGTCATAAAACTAATTTTATAATCCCATATAATTCTCAAGGAATATTGTCCTTATTTTTCCTTAATTTTCTAAGGCTTGAAAATATTTTTCCATAATTATTCTTAACCAATTTTCTTTAATTAGTCAAACTTTTCATAATTGGCTTGGAAAGCTATAATAATTATTTTCCACCAAAATTCTTCTATTTCTCCTTGTCATTTTTGACCCTTAGTTATTTAGGAATATTCCTATTCCTAAATGCCATATTACTGGATGTGACATCTCAATAGCCGTCTGCCCAAGGTATACCTTCTGAATCATCTGAATTCTTGGTTGGAAACTTAGATCAAGATGTGAGCATGTTAAAGTTCAAAGCTGATTTTGCAACTCAAAAAATTTGTCTTGTGGTCTCAGTAGATCTGGACAGCTTGAAAAAGAATGAGAAAATCAAATTGGATTTGAGTAACCCTTTGGAACACTACTCTAACTGGATGAGTATTAGTGGTGAATACTGCCCTAAAGTGGTCAAGAGATTTTACTCCACTATGGAATCTGTAAAAGAGTATGATGACCAAGATAATTTAGTGAATAATTATCTCACAATAAAGCTCAGAGGCAGAACCATTACTCTCACTTCTGCTAAGATAAATGAACTTCTGGAGAATCTAGAATATGTCAGAGGATGGGACATAAATGACATAAAAGCATACAAGATTCTGATGCAAAGTGACAGCTATCCAAGAGAGTTGAACTTCCCACCAAAACAAATGTGTGATTATTATAGAATAATCCACTATATTTATTCAAGGAGCATGGTAAATAAGTCTGGCAGCTTCTCACACTTAAACCAGGATGATTATCTACTGTTGGCTAGAATAATTAGTGGAGAGAAAATCAATATTAGAGCCTTGATCTACAGTGAGATGAAGGATTTCATACTCAATAAGTCCAAATCCATACACATCCCCTATCCTCAGCTAGTCACATACTTTCTCCAAGTAAACAACATTGCACCCTTCGAGCTTGGAGAAGTCAAAGTGAAGGTTCCTGCATTTGGCGTTAACCAGCTCAATAAAATAAAGATTCCAGTGCCCTTTCGGTCTTCACAAAAATTAGCAAGGAAAGAGAAAAGAAAACAGCCAATGACCAGTACTTTAAACGGCTGGGATGAAGCTGAATCTTCTGTAGAACCCTCTCAAACCTTTGGCCGCTCATGTTATGGCAACACCATTCAGAATATATTCCAAACTGAGCTATAAGAGTTTGAGAAAAGAGTATATGCCACGGCCAAACACTATGGGAAATTTCAGACAAGAAATTTGATGGACTTTCCAAGATATTAGATCTTCATTGTCAAGCCATGGTAATCTTGGAAAAAGAGGTCTCCCAGAAATTTCAAAGGGATGGTAGCCTCTCTCTACAATAATTTCTCTGCCCTAAGCACCACCTTCAGCTTTGAGGATCTCTTATCTCATCCACACTCTCCTCCTCATCCTGTTCTTGAACCATCTTCCTCACTTATCTCTACCTCTCCCACACCTGCTTCTCCTTCTATCCCTATCACATCCTCTCCCACTCTATCCACTTTAGCCATCATCACTGTTCCTCAACCTACTCCTCGTCTAACTCTTGTATCTATTTCTCAGGCTATTTCTCCAATTCCTTAGCTTCCCCCTCTTCCTATTCCCATTACTTTGCCTACTGTCTCTACTTCTTTCCCACATTCTGATGCTGACAAAAAAGGAGAGAAGGAATATGTTTAGTTCTTCTGTTTTTATTATGTCTTCTGTTATGTAAACTGCATTTTGGTGTGTAATTTGAACTTTGATAGTATTTAAACATTATCAGTTGCACATTTCTATTAATTTTTGACAGCTTGATATTTACTGCTGAATATTGTTATCTGTCATGAGCTTTTACTGAATTCTTGATTTAATTTACATTCTTATCTAATAAAATATGATTAATCTTACACCTGTGTTTTGTCATCATTAAAAATAGGGAGAATGTTAGATTTAAGGTTTTGATGATAACAAATCAAGTATGTTCTGGTTTACTATGTTGATTGATCACCTGATGGTGATCGATCAAAAGATAATTCATTAAGTGTCAGATAAAATGTCTCTGTTTGCTTGAAAGTTGGGCCTAAGTTTGATCGATAAAATGATAGATAATTCAAATTTTATATGTTGATTGATCAATTGATCGATCATTGTTAACACTATTTGGTATAGAAGTTTACAGAAAATTATTGATCACTTGATCGATAATTAGATGACTAAACAATTGACAGATAAAGAGACATAATTTTGGTAAGAGTTTATCGATCATGTGATCGATAAATAAGTTATCAATGAGAAGACAGATAAATGGTAAAGCTCTTCCACTTAAGTTCTATATTGTTTCATTCATTATTTATCAATCACTTTATCGATAAGAGATTTATTGATAACCTGATCGATCTTTGCTTAATAACTCACTGGATTATCGATATATTTTTATTGAAGGTTGTTGTCTGGTTCCCTAATCGATCAATTGATTGATTAGTGATTTATCAATCAAATGATCATCATTATTATCTCACTGCACCTACTATTCTAAGTTATGTTTTCAATCACCTGATCGATTATTTGATTATCAATGAAATGATCGATCATCCAAACTTCTGAATATTCTATTTTCACATAACGTGATCAATCAAGCTTTATCCCTGGACATTTAACTAAGTTTTCAAACAATATTAGGGCTTGACAAGTGGCGCAATATAGACCAAGTAAAAAGCAAGTGTACCTTTACACCTTATCAATGCACTTTACGGGTCCCCTTTCTCAATTCTAGTCTCCTGGAGCACTGATATATTTGTCACATCAGTTTTGTCTCATTCCACTACCCCTTATCTCCTATTTAATGCCATCACATGTGTCATGATTACCTCACATGGTGCATTAATGAGCCATCATTACTTTTGTCTTTTCCTTAGATATTTTTCTTGATTTACTTAGCTCTTATTTTTCGAGGCTCACATGGTGCATTAATGAGCCATCATTACTTTTGTCTTTTCCTTAGATATTTTTCTTGATTTACTTAGCTCTTATTTTTCAGGGTTCCTTTCCAGCTTTTTGGAGCTCTGAAAATTATTTTGTTTACTCCAAAAATTTCTTTTACTTTTAGAAAAAATCTATGAATTTTCTCAAGGCATAACTCATCCTATAGGGCCCACTTAAAAATCATTCTTTAAAATACCATTTTATCGGCATAATCGACTTTATATTTTATTAAAGCCATTTCACTAGTCTTCTAGTTATGAGACTATTTTTATAAATTAGTACAACCTTCAACCATTTAACCTCATTTTTTCATACATTTTTGAGGTCTCTTGCTGTTTTAAATAATTACCTCTGACAGTGTGCTTTTTACCGGCCATAACCTTATAAATTCTATTTAAGCTGTCTCAGGGGTTTTTTCATCATTTTTCTTTACAAAAGAGCCTTAGAATATTATTTCTCATTTTCTAGAATTTTCTTGAAATTTTCTGTATACTTTTCATTTTTACCCCTAATGGCCGTAACTTTCTAAATTTACCGTTTTGCCCCTGCTTGGGCTCAACCTCATAAACCATCTCTTTTAGGCTTCTAACTTAACATTTGGCATGTATCTAGCCTCTTTTCTCTTTCTGGGCCCTTGAGACTTTATTGGAGCCTCTAGCTTTGGTTATACTTCAGCCCTTGAAAACTTTTATTTTGCAGTTTAGTCCCTGAAACTGCTTTGACTTCCTTTCTCATCTTTGGAACTTCTGTTCAAAGGTGGTAGCCTACCTTCTTTAAGCTACTCCTAGGGCTTCTAGGTCTAAAATTGAGATGTGAAATTAGCTCTTGGAATTGCAAACTTTCATCAAAAATAACTTCTACATCTTCATCTTCACTTTCCTCATTTTTCTTCCCAACCAGCTTGCCCCTCCTCAAGCTTATAGCATTTAGGCCTTGGGGATTAGTAATAGCATTGGGGGGTAAGTCTCCTTTCTTAGCATCTTGCTCACTTTTAAAGTTTTCCATTTGAGTAACAAAGGCTTGGAGATTGTTGTTTCTAACCTCAAGTTGCTCCATCTTGTCATATAGCTTGCTCATCATCTTTAATAAAGTGCCCTCCCTATTTGGTTCTTGAATTGGGATCTCTCTTGTTATAAATAGTCCAACATAATTTCCCATAGAGGCATTCCCGAACTATCCTTGAGAATTTCCAGCACCTCTATACATATTTTCCTTGCCTTGACCATCTTGAAATCCTCTATTATCATTGCCACTCCACTCAAATACGAAATCTCCTCTCCAACCATTGTTGTAAGTATTTTGGGAGAATTGGTTAGGTCGTTGAAAGTTCATGGCAGCTACCTCTTTAGATTCAATCATGGAGGGATAATTAGGAGTAGTGTGCATAGGACTACTAGACACATCACATTGGTAGGAAAAAGAGCTTGAGTTATAGGAGAAGTATGTAGGGCTTTAACTTGGTCGCTTTATTGAGTTTGCATGGCCCTTTGCATACAAACCATTTGATCACTTAGAATAGCCAACTTGTTCAAAATTTCATTAGTTTGCCAAGCCCCTACTCCATGTACTTGAGCAGCATCTCTAACTCCAAACTGTTGATTATTGCAGCCATCTTTTCTAACAAATCCTATGCGCCTTGAGAAGTCAAATCAATTAAAGAACCACCAGTAGCAATATCAATGGTTGACTTTTGTTGATCTAGTAATCCATCATAGAAATATTAAACCAAATGTGGTTGAGAAATTTGGTGATGTGGGCATTTGGCAAGGAAGGCTATGAATCTTGTCCAACATTCATATAGGTTTTCTCCAATCCCTTGTTGAACACTATAGATCTCTTTCCTTATTCTAGCTGTCCTTGAAGTAGGAAAAATACTTTTCCAAGAATTGCTTCTTCAATTGCTCCCATAAAAGTATTGCAAAATGTTGAGGTAACATATGCAGCCATTCCTTAGCTTTCCCTTCCATAGGAAATAAGAAGGCTTTACTCAGTATGTGACACCTTATGTTTATACCAATTAACTTTCCTTGCGGAAGCATTTGGAATCACTTTTGAAGGCTACAATTGATGAAAAATCAAGTTTGAAAATTTTCATTTACGGGTTACTATTCATTGTCACCTTAAAATGTGACAAACTTCGAAAATTCATAACTAATTGTAGAAAAATTGAAATTGAGTGATTCCAAGTTCTACAGAAAGCTCTTTGGATAAAATTTTGAGAAAAAATAGTTTCTGAACTGATTGCCTTGAAATTCGAGCTCAATTTCCTTTGAAAAAGTTACTGTTCATTTGGTCATTTTCGGATTTTACTGTATTTTTGCCTAACTTTGGAAAGGCATAACTTTCTGCTCGGTTATCGGAATCGGGCAAACTACCCCTCATTTTAAAGAGAAACATCAGATCTCTTTGGTTGCCAAATCTTATGACCTAACTCACTCGTTTGATATGTCAAACTGGAGCTACAAACTCACTGCTCCAGGACTTACATTTTATCCCTTAACATCTCTTTAATTCTTTTTATTTCTTTGGCATACATAACATGGCCTTACTCTTTCCCGTTCATGCTCACACACTTTCATTCATGCCATAAATATTATAATTAAATACATGGCATCATTGGCATCCATAACATAGTTCACAAAATAGTAGAATTATACATTATTCAACAGTCTCATCCATTAACAAGAATAATTCTCCACTTACTTCTCCTTGCTTCTCATGCCATTATTGCCCGTCATTGATTGACCTAAATGGTTGGTTAGGGAGGGGTGAGATTCGGGAGAATCTCAGTAGCAAACACTACCCATAAGCATGCAAGACATAATGCACATGCATGACATGTTATAACATTAACACATGAATGCCATGGAAAGTAAGCTAAAGCATTTCATGCTTCCATAACATATTGCCAAGGCAAAACATAACATAAACTTGCAAACATAACTTTGCAAACATTTCATCATAGCTTAGTCACATCATGGCAACACAATCACATCATGCAAGCATACATATCAAGCACACAGTATAGGTAAGTTCACTACCTTGTAACATGGCTTTCCCCTTGCTTTTCCTTTGGTTTCCTTGTCTTTCCAATCATGTGGACATTCCGTCAACATCACCAAACATCCTCTTGGATGTTCCAAAGGTCCTAAACATAGTCACATTGATCATACAAACCATTAGGACCACTAGATTACATAAAGTTCAAGACTAGCTTTCTTGAACCTCAACCCTTTCTCTTAGTCTTAGGGTTTTCTTTCCAACTTTTCTAACATAAATCTTATCATTTCCCATCCTTAAGATCCATTTCTTGTCAATTAGGACCACTTTAGATGGCCTTAGATTCAAGAATACCAAATCTGGAAATTTTGCTTCGCGGGTACTGTTCACGCAGAATTTCCAGAATTTTTGCTCAACTTTGAAAATTCATAATTAATTCTAGAAAACTCCAAATTGAGTGCTTCCAAGTCTCACTGAAAGATCCTTAAGTTAACTTTAAATGAAAAATAGTTTCAGGAACCAGTTCTACGCCGAACAGTACCGGAACTGTACGGAACTCGAAACTCTTCCAAAAGTTCAACACTGTTTCCAGATTTCAAACCCTAACTTTGAAAAATCACCATAAATCGTACACATATCCAAATGAAGTGTTCTACCTATGGATTTAAAGCTCACAGAGTGTACTTTAAGCATGCAAAATTTCAGAATCAGATACGCACAGTAACTAATCCGAAATAGGCATAAAATCAGGTGCTATAACCACCACATACCGTGTTTTAGAGTTTGATCTGGCTTGGAACCACTTGGCCTTTCTTTCTCCCTCTTCTTTCTCTCTCTAGAAACCATTTTGCAAGAGCTTCCCCATGGATTCCTTATGCTTGGACGAAATGGTAGGGAGGGGAGGGGGTATTTATAGAAAAACAGACCGAATCTGGACCGTTGATCTTAAAAATACGTGGCTCGATCTGGACCGTCCATTTTCTCTTTTGATCTTACGGTGACAAGTGTCCTATGACATCATGCTTACCTCATCATGATGACATCATGCTTACATCATCAAGCCACATGTCTTTAATCCGACCGCACACGTGCCTTGCATCCGACCGTACACGTGTCTTCCATCTAGCCGTACACGTAATATTTTCTTTTTCTCATCTAACCGTACACTTGTCACTTTTATGTCCTTTCATCATTTATGGCATTAAAATAGGGAGAAAATAAATGGAAATTCGTGCAAAAATATCTCCTTAATTATTTCTCCACCTATCAAGCCAATCTTGCACCATATCAGATACTTTTCGGGTCCTGACTTACCCTGTACCACCAGGACATGTTCTGACACTATTTTCTCATCTTAATTAAGTACATATATGGTGCCACCTTAGAGGAGCATAGATAAAAATAATTAGCTCTACTGACAGGCTACTTAACCTTACTGAGTCATGCAGTAGAGATTTCACTATAACGGGTAGACAAAAGACTGTCTAAAATATTCCCATACTGCGTTCTGATTTTTATGCTGTCCATAAATATCTTCTGGTGACTCAGCATGATGACTCGTAGGTGTCATGATTACGCTTGATGACTTAGCATGCTGACTCAGCATCGTCATGATGGCTTTTAGATATTTTCTTTGGTTTTGTCTCCTATTTAGGGGACAAAATTATTTAATATTTGACTGGAGCATTTTATTCAGTCCAGAGCTCCAAAAATTCATCCAAAAATATCATAAAATTCCTCCTATTCTAGAGAAAATCTGTGAATTTTCTCAGGTCATAACTCAACCTATAGCCCCACTTAAAAATCATTCTTTAAAATGCCTTTTTTGGGCACAACTGGCTTTTAAGTATTCTTAAAGCCATTTTGCTGTCTTCTGGGGATGAGACTAATTTTATAATTTTCTATAGTCTCTTAGATCATACATCCCCATTTTACCATAATTTTCTGAGGTTTCCTTATGACTCAAACAATTAAATCTACCTCTACATCTCAAATTGAGCCATAAACTTATAAATTCCTTTTAAGTTACCTCAGGGGTATTTTCATCATCTCTCTTCACAAAAGAGTCTTAGAATATTATTTCCCATTTTCTGGGATTTTCTTAGAATTTTCTAAGTACTTTCCATTTTTACCCCTGATGGCCGTAACTTTCTGAATTTACGGTTTTACCCCTGCTTAGGCTCAACCTCATAAAACAATCTCTTTGAGGCTTCTAACTTAACCTTTGGTCTGTATCTAGCCTCTTTTCTCTTTCTGGGCCTTTGAGACTTTACTGGAGCCTCTAACTTTGATTACCCTTTAGCCCCTTAAAACATTCACTTTGCAGTTTAGTCCCTAAAACTGCTTTAACTTTCTTTCTCATCTTTAGGACCTCTACTAAAAAGGGGTCTGGTAGCCTATCTCATTTAGGCTATTTCTGATACTTCTAGGTCCAAAAATCAGGATGTTACAATTCTCCCCCTCTCAAAAGAATTTCGTCCTCGAAATTCCGAGTCAAACCTCTATTCTTACCCTTAATGAGAGGTTAACTAAGGAGAATATCCCCACTAAATTTTGACCTCTTCAACTTTTCATTATACTCATTTTCAGGTTTCAACCATGGCTCCATACTTACATAACTTGTCGTTCTATACTTTTCTGTCATTTACATGAGCATGGCCTTTGCTTTTAAGCATTTTGTCACCACTGCTCACCTTCTTCCTCTCCTTTAGGCTCATTCTTTCATAATAATACCATGACAGTGTGCCTGTCTTCATGGTATTTTACTACACCATGGCATTTTGGGTTCTCTTAATACAACCTTTATCTATTCTTTGCTGTATACCTTGCCATTCCTCTTTACTTTAAGGGCATATCTCCTTTCTTTCTTCATTGACTAGAACAGAATTGAGCTCAGTCTAATCAACAATAAAGGTGTCTGGAACAAGTCAAGGGTACTCTCTCTATATTAGTCCACCGCTGAAGGAGATTTCACTATCTTAAACTCATCTCTGGTCATCGTCTTCCCAAAGAGGTACTGTACTCTTACCCTTATGGCTCAGACACTTTCTCTTAGGCTTGGTCTTTCACGACCTTGGGAGCTACTGCGCTCTACCATAAGCCTTTTCAGGATCCATCATGACCCTAGAATACTATCATCAATCTGAACCATCTTAGGATCTCTAGGAGACTCTAGACCATAGAGTTGAGTAATAAAATAAGTCACCTCCACTCAGCTAGTAACTTGACTGATTATTCCCCAAGACTGATCACAGATATCAGTATTGTCTTCTTAGGCCTTACTCAATCCTTTCTGTCAACTCTTGGAATTCTTAGCCTTTCCATATTTCTTTAGCCCTTAGTTTTAGCTTCCTTAGGCCACTTTCTTTCTTTGTGCCTTTCGAATTTCTAGGCACTGGCTCATCTCTAGAGCTCATTAACTTGCCATTGTATCAATGCCAGCTTGCCTTGTCTTAGGATTCTGTAGTCCTTTCTGTCTCTTAACAATTTGGACAGCTTCGGGAGAGGACTTATATCATCACATTCTCATTATCCTTCAGTATCTCGTAGTACCCTGTTAAGCTCAAAGAGCATCTGTTTGCATATCACGCTTCTATTGTCTTAACCAGTTTCACTCTCTCTCTCTGGGGTAAGGTCCGTCCTGTGCCTTGCCTCGGCTGCTTCTACTCTTTCTGTGGGAGGACAGATTGCTCGACTAGAGCATCGTCAACTCAACCACTTACTTTCTGTTTCATTCCTTCAGAGGATAGCTTACTCTTACTAGAGCAGCGTCACTCTGATCTAGAGAACCATTCCCCAATCTTAGAGAGGTACTTCATGGTCAAGACTTCGCTTATATGCAATCTCTTC